GAGGCGGGGGGCGTGGGGTCGCTGCTCGGGCCCGGCAGTTCCGGGATGTGACGGTTCCCTCGTCCCCCGTGGAGCTCTGACCGGCACCCGCCATTCAGGTTTCCTGCAGGATTCGGTGCTGCCGTCCCTGCCCTCCGCCCGGCAGAGCTGGAGCCCTTCGCCTTCGCGCTCGCAGCCCGGCACCTGCATGGAAGCAGAAGCTGATGGTGGCCCGAGGTGACGTATGGCCGAGAAGTGGGCAGCCCGTGTTGTTTTGCTACAGCTGTGAGAGGACGGTAACCTTCGGCAGGCCTCGTGGCCGGGATTTTCACTGTATTTCCTCAGTTAATCCGTTTTGTTGAGTTGGAGCCTCAACTGAGGCCTTCCTTTAGCATTTAAGGAGTGTTCTTAAGTGTAGCCTGACATACTTTGTCAGGAAGGAGGTCTGTTAGGAAAAAGTGTGTATACCTCCAGAATTACTCTAAAGGTTATTCTTAGTGTACTAGAGTCTGAAAAAGAATTGATCACAACTCTTTGATTTTTCAAGCTAAATATTTCAATCGGAACACTGTAATAGCATTATATATTTTAAGTAATAGACATGCTGTATTTGGGTTATGCTTTGTAACAGTTGCCACATTTATGAAATCTGTAGCAGATTGAAATCCAAGTTTTTCTTTTAAAGGAATATGTTTATCTTGTATTGTGCCTGTTTTGCAGATATTTTGGGGGTTAAAGGATTTGAACTGCAGCTGAATAAAACTAGGGCTGAAAATTGAAGGATGGCAGCAAATCCTTCGGGACAAGGTAGGTTTTAATCTGAGTATTCAAGGGGAAGGTCTATGTGTTAAACGTCAGTGAAGTCTCCAAACCCAGAAGTTTAGTTTATAGAAAGAGCAATAAGGGGAACAGAGGCAGGAAGGTGGGGCTGAAAATAGCAGAATGTGAGCAGGCCTTCTGGAGAAGTCACAATGTGTTAAATGGTTGGAAAGGACCACTTATGGCTAGGGAGCTCTGAATTACTGTGCATTCCTTCATGCTCAGGTTGTGAAGTGCCTGTGGTGCTGTGATTGTTTCCTGAGTCGTGTTTCAGACACTTGCGATGCTTGGCATTGAACATGACTTGCAGCGGTCAGCATCAGGGAACAGCCTGAAGTCTAATATATACCGTGCCATGATGGCAGCAGCAAGACCCAGGCAGTAACAGCTGTCGAAGGTAGATAGCGAGTGGCCAGGCCTAGGAGGAAAAGCCAAATAAAATCATCATGCTAGCTCTGATGAAAGGTTTCTTTGCTTGATGACACATCTGAACTGCCTTTGTAAAATCGTTCAAGACATGGAAATGGTCCATCTACCAAGCTGGGGCACATGTCTTCTTGGGGGCTGGGGTGGGGTCCCATGGTAAATTGAAGGAGGGTCTTAAATTGCCCCCTAGAGGTGCTTTCTGGAAATCTTTTTGGAACTCGGAGGCTTTGCTCTTCTGTGGGAGAACTGAGAAGAAAGAAGCTTCTCGGGTACGGCTCTTCAGTTAGTGGTTACGAGAACTGAATTCAGAATTTGGTTTCCCGGCAACTTGAGGCTTCTTCATGCACATTTGTGTATGAGCGTCCTTATCTGGGCAGTCCCGCAAAGCTGGCTGTAATTAGTTCTGAAGTGCTGAATAGGTACCAGATCACCTGTGTGGTTCCTCCCCCACCCTCCCAATGGCTCTCTGCTTTCAAAACAAACACAGAAAAAATGTGTTAGTCCAAAAGACAGATTTTACTTGCTATTTGATGAAAAGAAGGTAATTTTTGGAATGCTCGTTGAACTTCTGTGAAGAGAGAGGAGAGTACTCTAGATTGCAGATAATCTTTTGTTTGCAAATTTTAATTGTAAGAAGTTTTTGGTGTGTAATGGTAGATCTTGCTTTATTCTATGAATACCAAGTCTGCATCATTGCAAGGAATAGGATGTTGTCATAGAGAGTTAAAAGCTACCTTTCCTTAAATGTGTGGAGTTACTGAGAAGTAGAATGGGATTTTAGTGCCACAATACCTTTGCTTTCCTCCAAATTCCAGAGGCTTATAATTTAATAGAGCCTTGGAATCTGCTTTTATACTTTGAGGTACCTGTTAGAGACTCACTAAAGGAACTGTTTAATTATCATATGAAAATTATTTGGACTAAGCAGGCAAGAAACGCTGTCAAGTTTGATCACCCAAATGAGCCTATAAAAATATATATCTAGGAGAATTAGAAAGGAACAGGTAAATATGAACAACAGTTAAATGCCTTTTTATCTTGGCCAGATGCAGTTTAATAGTGAAATGATTGAGACAAATGCTGCATTTTCATTCGCTGATTTCCTTCTTCTTGGACAAAAGGAATAGGGATTTACTGAAACAATCACTGGAAGGGTTATGAATGGTGGCACTTACTCAGATGGAACTGTAAGGATGAATTAAACATTAGCCTTCTACACAGGTAGACTGTGTTTGTCATTTTTTTGTACTAAGTTTTTTCTTTCCCTTTTATCAGTACCAGGTATTTTCCCAGGCGTTAACTGAGGTTTCTGTTAATTGCAGACTCGGACTACAAAGGTTAAGATTTTGTGGACTGGACTTCCTTTAATTCATTATCCTCTTAGGAAAGCATTCTTGATTAGAATTTCAGAGATGAGGATCTGCGTATGAGTGCAGCAAAGCCAAATAGAATTGAATGAAAGCCTTATTTCAGGCCATTAGTACCACACGGAACTGAGTGCATGAGACTGACTACAGCATTTAAAAGGAATGGAAAAGCTTTTAGCATGCTGTGTATTGTCCACAAGATGAACTTATAGAACAGGGTGATACATTTTGGTAGGAAGGGAGAAAAGTCGGCTTCTAAATTACAGAAATTACTTTCAGGTGCTTGGTAATACATGGCTTCTGCAGCAATACTTTGCAGTACTTGCATAACATGTGTTAGGCTGCTGTTGTAATGCTTTCGCTTGTACACAGCAAGGCCAGAGCATACCTTGCGTGTTACTAAATTAAAGACTCCATGTGTGAGTTCTCCTAGTGGAAGCCCTCTGAGATGAGAAAAATGTGGCTGTGCTGAGGAAGGAACTCTCCCTTAGGTCCCCACAAAGTGGAAGAAATACAGGTACTGCTTCGGGCAGGACTTTACTTTTCTGACAAGATGAATTTGGGTACAGTGGAGGAACTAAGCTCTTGAACTCTAAGCTTCAGCCTGTAGCAGTTCTACAAGGTCTCTTTCTGTACTGGCAGTTGTTTATCCTTTTGGCCTAAAGGTATGAGAGCACATTCAGTAACACAGAGCAACTAGATTTAGCATTCGGTTCACCGAGTCTCTTAAAAAGGAAGATGGTGCTGCTCTGCATTGAATTAGTGTCATCATCTACAACCTTTGCTGCTCTGTATCTGAGTTTGATCTGTGTGCAGGCGTGGTACTTGAGGGCTGTAGCATACTTCTTCCCTGGAGAGCGTGGTGGCCATAAAGCAATCAATGACTTACATTCAGCTGTGCATGTAGCTGCTTTCTGGAGGGACAGACAAAATACTAATACATCTTTCAGTAATTCAAGTTAATTTACTGAATTACTAATATGCCTTTTATTTTGTTGTCACACAATATATATGAAAACATATCCAGATGTGTATTGTTACTGAAAAGTATTGATGTTTAGCAGACTGTTACTTGAAGTTTAGTGATGCCAGTAGTCATTAGCTGGAGAGGAAATCTAAATACAGTTACTCCATCCTTTTTCCCCAAGTGCTGTGTGTTTAGTAAGCTGTTTCGATTTTGCTTTTTGAGAGGTTGCTGCCTCACTTCATGAAGCCTATCATTTATGAAAACATGCATTTCAGTAAAGAAATTGCTGTGAAATGCTTTCTGAATTGAGCAGGCAGAACAGTGAGCAGTGATAGTGCTCTTTAACGTACAGAGCTTAGAGTACACCTCCACCTTTGAAGCATTTTTCCAGGTAGAAGTGTATCTTGAACACAAAGTGACGGAGGGCTCCTTTCTGCTGTTACACATCTAAATGATAAATAATGCCTATTAGAAAAAAATTACACATACTGTGAATTTGAAGCAACCAACAGATCAGAGAAAAGATGTGAGATGAAAAGTAAGAACTTTGAAATAGATAAAGGTAATACTATTTCTTGCCATGCAGAGTTAGGTAGTAGAACTAATTGATGTAGATATCAGTGAGGTGGGGTGGCAGAATTAGGTGTTAGGATTAGGTTAAAGAGTGAAGCTTGCTGGGAGCTCTTAAAGCTAACAGTGTCACTCAGCAAAGCTTCAACCTTTTCTGATTTTCTGCCTTTCAAATGCAAAACATTATGCAAGTAAACTTTTAGCTCCTGCAAAGAGCACATAATTGAATGCTTTATGTCAGAAACAGAGGTGTCAGAAAGAACAGGTTTAAATTTTAAATGTCCTGAGTTTGCTGCTTTAGAGAGTAGTCTGAGGATCCAGGTGCGCAGTTTGACATCTGACACTGCCAGTAATCTATTTAACCGCCTTGAATGGGTCATTTTGTGTCAAGGTTCTTGTGTCTGCAAAGCAGACAAGAATATTATTGTTCAAACTCAAAATAGTAGTGCAACTCATCCCAGTTAAGGGAAGTTTAAACTTAAATCTTTGTTAAGAAATTGCTGTGTTTGAAAATCTACATTTCCTTTCACAGGTGAGAATCCGGTCTATACTAAGGATGGCTTTTTTTTTTTGCATTTCACATTTTTAGTACTTGAAAGCAGAACAGAGATATCAAGTCTATGGATGAAAAATTACTTTATGGTTGAAGTAGGAAACTTCTGTAGCTGTTTCAGGTTGGTCTTTATGGCAGCACTTTGAGATCCTGGGCAGGGGAGAATCTAAGTGGAAGTCTTGCTTATGTTTTGCCAGGTATGATGAGTTATTTTTTAGGGATGCCAGAGTTTCTCCCTAAAATGGATTTCTCATGTCCCTCCCCCTCCACTGTTAACTTTAAAATGAACAGGTTGCTTCACATTTTAAAAAAGTTTAAAATACCTGTAGGAACTTCAGGGTGCTCAACTGGGGAGCACTAGCATGTACGTGTTGGATGTCCTGCTCAGTTTCCTCAAGTAGACTTTTTTCTACTTACCATTAACAAATTGTCTTTAACAATTGACTTCTTCAGTACAGCAGGTTGCTGATGGGCTCTGTCTGAATTTCAGATCAAAATACTACCATTTTTTTAAACGTTAGTAGTAGAGGGAAAGGAGAAAGAAGAAAAAATACTTGGGTTTCTTCTGAATCCCTCTAGAGTTTCTGCCAAATGATACTGTAGCAAGACTCATACTAAAATGGACGACAGTAATCTTGCACAGTTTCTGATCACAGTTTAAAAACAACATTTAAAATTTTATTGTTACACATCTCAAGCCTTTCTGAATCATACCATCTGCTTCATGATAAATGAAAGCATATTCAGTATTTATCTTTTAGCTGACAGGAACTTGCATTAAAAAGTGGTCTCCTTCTTGTTGCCTCAATCACTGTATCTTCTGAATTCCAAACATGCATTTGGATTTATGCGTTTTGGCATAAACAATCACTAGCAAGAGGCTACTGAGTCAAGTATTAAGCCTTTTGGCTGAAAACGTGTAGAGTGAGCATACAGACATGACTACTTTAGCTCAGACTCAGAAGAGTTATTTCTTCAGTTGTCCTGCTACAGCATTGTCTCCAGAATTTATAGGAAAGTAAGGTCTGGGCTAGCTCAACTCGGAAATGTTGAATCTTCACTTGTTGGCAAGCCTTTGTGTCTCTTAGAGCACCCATTCAGCTGTGTTTTAATGTTTCAAACTCATTCCAAGTGCAGGGTGTTCAAAAAAAGATAGTGTACAATGCCTAAAGAGCAGAGAAGCATCAAAGACCTGAATCAATACGCTTGCAAAACAGAGAGTTTAAGTGGAACTAATGTCATGTGGGAAAGAGAGATTAACAGATGGGAAAATAGCAATTAAATTTAATTTAAAAATCTGTTAACAACAGTAAAGATGGTTATGGGTGATCTTGTGTAAAACCACAATAAAATGTAATCAAGCAACTCTGCTCCTTTCAAGAACTCTGAGACACTGAGGTGTGTACATTAGGCGTAGTAAAAGAAAATAGTGAGGTTTGATAGCAAGGCAATACGGATGCAAATTATTATTTGCGGTTGAAGGTTTCTGCCTGATAATTTTCTCCTTCACTGAGCCACGCTGATGGAAGGAGTATTGGGCTACGTAACTGAGCAGCAACAGAAGATTTCTCAAAGGGGATGAACTTTGAGTGCAGCTACTGAAAACACATTTGAAATCATTTTACCTCGACATGCTGGTAATCCCCTTAAGAGTTACCGTGTCTGGCCTTCCTAACAGCTGGTGAGCTACCATGTTTTAGTGGTGTTACTACAACAGCGCTCAGCACGGGGGTGGGGGCACAACATGTAGCGGTTTCCAATGGGAAGGGCTTTGACTTTTTGTGTGGAGGCAATAAACGAGATAACTTGACTTTTACTTTTTTATGACAGTGTAGTGGCTTGATATTTATAGAACAGCAGCAAAATAAGAGATTAAAAAAAGTATATTCTTGACATGAGGAGTGTACTTAGTGGCATAGAGGCCTGTGAGGGTTGGCTCTGTAGCTGTTGTCCTCGGCTGTGCTGTACAGACATACACAAGTCCCTGCTGTTGTCCAGTATCTGGTTTATCTGGTGGCCGCAATAAGACCCGTTACCATAAGAGTCCTGTGTAAGTGCAGCAGTTTTGCCATGTTTTCATTTAGAAAACAACTTTGAAAATACACAAATAGCAGCTGCTTTAGGGGTTTTCTAAATTCCCTTAGTCACTCTGCTTCCTGACCCCATCTCTAATACACAAGGTCCCTTTGGGAGAATGATGTACAGAGCAAATAAAGGCTATGTTCTCGTATTGTGTCCAGAGAGTTTAATTTTGCTTCTCTGTTCCGGCGTTGTGGTCATGCTCCACGTGGTCATACTCAGAAAAAGGATAGTGAGTGTATGTAAGGACATCAGTATGTTAAAACTAAAACCTTTCTGCATAGATTGAATAAAAGGTTGTAATTTTTTTATATAAGCATGTGTTCAAGCTTAGTGGTCCTCTCATTCTTACTGTTACGTATGTAAAACTTGTATTATAGTTTGGGTTCACTGGCATGAGGAATTAGGTCCCGTGAGTGTATACTTTCATTATTATCACTGAATTGTTATGTTCCATAACTGCATTTTAATATAGAACCTGGTAAGTTTACTTTTTTTTGAAAGGCAAGTATTTGGTCATGTACCTTGTTTATAGCTCCAGAGCTGGCTTGGGAAGGGGTAGGATCTAATGAGTTAGAAACCTGTAGTTTAAAATGTATTAATATGTATGATGGTTTAAGGAAGCTATTTCATGTTGTAAAATGAGAAAAGGAAAAATGAAACTTACTTTATAATAGCCTTTCAGATGGGTGCAAAGCTTTGAAGATCAGTGTATTCATCGTAGTGTCATATTGTATGGGGACTTTTAATTCCACAAGTTTAGAGATGGGTCATAAAAATCAAGTAAATCTCTAATATTTTTTGTCATTCCCACCAGGTTTCCAGAATAAAAATAGGGTTGCAATCCTGGCAGAACTAGACAAGGAGAAGAGAAAGTTACTTATGCAAAACCAGTCTTCCACAAATCACCCTGGAGCCAGGTATTTTGTGTTCTTAGACCTGTTTGGACATCACTGATTACATCAAAGGAAAAAAAAATAGCAAGTGAGCTGTAAACTGTCATAAACACTTATCAGGAGTGTTTTCTGACCATCCTCAATAACCAGCCGGAGAGACCTTGCACTTCAGGAACATACTAGTGTTTAGAATTGTTTACAGACCCTGAATTTTGGCTTACATAATTTTCATTTGAGAAGGGGAGAAGCAGATATACTTACTAAACTGTATTAAAGTCAACCTTAAAGAAGAATCAGGTAGCAGGCACTGAGAAAGCATTTAATTATTAAGCTAAAATGCCCTAAGGAATGGAAGCAGCAGACCATTAGTTCAGGGTACTATCTGTTTAGGGAAGACAGTGATGGCAGGGAGCGAGTTATCCTTGAAACTCCCAGTGTGCATGACAAAGCCAGTTTATGTTACTGCAGGTCATCTTGTAAAAGACACTGTGTCGCAGGATGATTCTACACCATAAGGTGTAATAATCTAATCTGAGTTTGGGAGCTGTCACTGGGATTTCTCCCATTTAAAACAAAAAGATTAGATTTTTGCCATAAATCAGTAACTAGAAAATCACATGCTGCTTCACGTGGAGAAATCAGATAGTTGAACTTTTGGGTTAGCATGAAGTGACTGCAGTGCCATGTTCTAGACACAGTATGTTACGTGCGCTATCTGTACAAGAGTCAAATACTCTGAATACAGTCGGAGTGCTGCCTACGTCTTTTTTCAAGGAGATTCTAGGCCACCTTTAACCTTCATACTGAAAAAAAAGCATGCAGAATGTTTGAAATCGCGTGAGTTAGATCTCAGAGTGACTCTGTATACAGTTATTATTCAAGGAAAATGATTGATTAGAGAAGAAAATAGAAATACCATACTGTTATGAACATCCCCTGACTCCTGACAACAGTATGTCCATACTTCATTTCAAGTCTGTGGAGTTTCTGGGAGTGCTTGTTTGCTTTCTTTTTTCTTTAAGGAAAAATAACACTATATGCTAGTGAGCAGATTTTAAATGTACTAATTCTGAAGGTGGAGGTGGGAGGGAACCTACAAAGCAGCAGTCAATCTCTCTGCTTTGGCATGGTGGGCGGATGTGTGATTTTTGAGAAGCTCACAGTTCTGTGGCAGGTTTTGGACCACAGAGTTGTCAGAAATGAGACCACAGAAATTCTGCGAACTGGCAGAAAAAAGCTTAATGTACCTAAAGCACGCAGTGGCATAGTCAGCGTAAGGATGAATGAGTTAGCTGATTTCTGGTCTCGACATATGGGAATCCTCTATCCAAGAACAGAAGACCTCTTGAAAAGTGTCAGCTTATGATGAAGCCTTAAGATTATCTAGAGAAATCATACTGAAAAATTAGAGGGTACAGAATTAAATGCAAAATATCTTCAACATAAGTGATAATATTGTGCTTTAAATAAACTGAGTAGTACTTTTCTCCAGCAGTGAAGCTTATGTTAATATTTGTCATAAAATCTGTTCAGAGGATTGCTGCTTAGCTTTCATTATGCATGTAGGCGTAGATTTGACTCAAGATCTTTTAATGAGTATGGCCGCTTTTGAAAAACTGACTTACTAAATCAGTTGTTGACATTGAAGCCGCTGGGAAAGCTCTGTTGATGAGTTTGCTTGGATCCCTTGTTGTCTTTCATACTTTTGTCTTTGTGGCTATGGAGAGCTGGGCTTTCAGCACCAGTCTCCGTAGTCAATTTCAGAGGTAGCTGTGAATTGCCTTGTAATACAGCTCTAATGGTGGTCCTCACTGATTTCTGTCTGGAGGATGGCTGATCATGTTACTTGTAGAGACTTGGGGAAAAAAGAAGTCATGCTTTTTATTGCCTCTTTTTTGGTTAGCAAGGTGGACAAGTCTTAAGACGTAAAAGCCAAGAAAATCTACTTAGGAATTTTAATTTGAAACCTAACATATGCTGCACTGAGATGCGCAAAATCAGTAGGTACTCTAAGCTATCATCAGAGGATCACTGCTTCAGTTACATCAATAGGAAGCTCCTTTACCATAAGCAGTGATCTGCCGCCCACCTGCTGAAGAACCGGTCACATATGGAAGACTGCAGAGTTCTTGGTAGTGCTTCTGTTTATCACAGTTGTTTAGGACAGTCACTGAGTGACTGACTAAAGTTGAAAACACAAAGCTGTTGTTTTAAAAATTGCTGACGTTGTCTAACGTTGCACCCCAGTGGTTCCACTGACTTCAGTGGGATGCCAGCCATGAGCAAAATCCGCAATAGGCTTCAGGACTGTGAGTCTTCTGGGTTTCATTTGGCATCGGTTGTTTATGCTAGGTCAAATGATACAGCTATGGTCGCTCCCATTTTCCTTTATTCTGTTATGTTAAAAAAAAAATTAATTCCAAACAATAGTTAGCAAATGTCAAGCTGTGAGTCAAATCGTCAGCTGTGGAAGTTGTGAAATATATGGCAAGAATGGCAATGACACATTTTTTTCTGTGCTATGTATCATCTTGTGCTTTTTTGCAGCATTGCACTTGGAAGGTCACCACTGAACAAGGATTTCCGTGATCATGCTGAGCAGCAGCACATCGCAGCACAACAGAAGGCTGCACTGCAGGTAAGCTGATACAGTCAGGTAGAGTTTAGCCTGGCTCTGCTGTAGGTCTGCATCCCTTCAGAGGCCAGTCCTGCACCTAGAGAAAATGAAAAGCTGCTTTCAGAGGTTAGGTTTCATATGTTTCTGTATTTGTCACAAATGAAGGTTCTTCTGTTATGATGAAAGCTTAAATCTGTTGACTCATTCTCCCTCGATATGGTTATAAGAATGTAGCCTACAATATCATCATAGCTGTTTTGTATACCTCAGTCAAGAATCAGTTTCATCGTACTTCTGAATGTCTCATGAAGCATAGGGAGAACTAGCCACACGGATTTCCTTGGTTGAATCTGAGTAGATGCCAAATAAATTCCCTGCAGGTACAAGTGACAGGGTTGAAAGATGTGGAAAACTTACTTGTACATTTACAGGCTTTGATTTGCTGCTATTTTGCTTACGTCGGGTGAGGTTGATTTTGGTGTTGAAATTGGAAACTGAGCAGGAAAGCCAGTACACAGCCACCTGCCTTCCTGGCACTCTAGACAGCATGATTTGGCAGCGGGCACAGAATGGGAAAAATGTTGAGATGTGAACTAGCAACACTGTTCATGTATCCTATGCCTTGTTGTGTTTCTGTTACCCAGTAAAGGCCACGTGTTGCCTCTCCTAAATGAATGGGAGCAGAAGTGAGCTCTGTGTGGTGTACTGTTGATCACAGAACACTGTAGGCTGGAAGGATCCTCTGGAGGTTTCTGGTGCAGTGTGCTGCTCAAAGCACAACTGACAGCAGTGCTGTATTGGATTGTTCAGTGTGTGGTCCAGTCAAGTTTTGAATCTCTCCAGTCATGGACTTGTCACAGCCTTTGACTCTGGGTCTGGCTCTGTCTTCTCTGCATCCAGTTGCTGGGTATCTGAAAACAGCTTAAGATCTCCCCTCAGCTTTGTCTTTTTACAAGAAGCTCAGTCCTCCCACCATCCCCTTGGATGCTGAGAGCTCCAGCCAAGCACCCAGCCGTCTCTGTTGGTCTACCTCCAGCTTGTATCTCCAGGCAAACACAATCGCAAGTGCAGCCCCATGGGTAGCTTCCCTTGACTTGCTGGTTGTGCTGTTGTTGATGCGGCCCACCGTGCTGCTAGCCTTTATCACTATGAGGGCACACTGCTGGCTCAGGCTAAATCTGATACCCACTGGGGCTTTTCTCTAGTGGTGGAAGGAAGGAATACGCGGGCCATCTAGCTTACTGGAGTCTAGTGTTCGAGCTGGGAAGGGCTATGTAGGATTTTGCAAAGGTGGTCCAGAGCCGTAAGCAGCAGCTGCCCTCAGGTGAACAAGCATATATACATGACATGAGCAGAATGCTGTTGTCCCGTGCTGTACAGGAGTGCGTCTGGTCGCATGTCTCTTGTGCAGGTAGCCTCAGGTTGTGTGACACTACTAACGCATGCTTCTGGCAGTCGTATGTGGCAGCTGTCACAAACCAAGACCTGTGAGTTGGTTATAGATGGCAGTGGAAGCACAGTGTCCAGGCAAAGGAGAGCAATCAGGAGTTCATTTCCCACTCTCCCCACCTCCATGGTATTTGCTGAAAAAGGAGCAGCAGGAAATGGCCTAGTTAATTCCCTTGGTGGGCCCTGTTCAGATGTGGCTGATATAAAATGATGGTTTTGAATTTGACTACCAGAGTTGAGGAGCAGACTGGGAGAAATAAATAATTAATGCTGCAGAAGCTGTGAAGTCTTGAATTATATCAGTGCTGCAGGGAGCTACACTTTAACAAATGTTTTTCTCTTTCCAGCACGCACACGCACATTCCTCAGGATACTTCATAACTCAAGACTCTGCATTTGGAAATCTTATTCTTCCTGTCTTACCTCGACTTGAGGCAGAATGAGGAATGTTGTGTCTTGGAACTGCAAGGTCTGATTTTTGTCCATAGCAGGAACTGCCTGACCTTTTAATTTCTTTACTTACCTTAAAACCTACTTTTTTTCTGGATTTTTGTGGTTGCCTTTTGGGAGTGTGAGCTCCAATGATAAAAAAGCAATGTTGTTGAACAGCGATTTTTATGCTGTATTTCTGTTCCTCTGTCAGGTCAAAGTCAGACATAAGACTTCCGTGGTGTGTGAAGTGCATAGCGCTTGCTCTTCCCTGTTTCTGTGCTTCCTTTAAATAAATGTCCAAACCAGAGTCATCAAGAGATGCACACTCTGTCAGCATTTGTGTTTCTTATTATTGTTTATAGGTACTGTATTTGACTTTAATGAAAGACAAAAGTTACTCTTCTTCATCAAAACAGACATGAATTTATCAAGTGCATCAGTGAGCCTTTTTTTTTCTGTACGTAGGAACATTGCTAGTGTACTATTTGCTGTTGTAGTATCATCTGGTCTCAGGTCCTTAGGTATAGTGTGCCTGCCTCTTATTTTGTTTTGTGAAACATGAAAATGAATTAAAGTGGGGGAAAAAAGCAATTGTTTCAAACAGTCTTTTAACAGACAAAAGAAGTCTTTTAACTTCTGTGGACATTTCAGATGGAAATTATTTTCTGCAAGGACAGTTGAGTTTGAAACATATTTTGCTAGTCATACCTCTTTCAATACTTTGTGTGTTTTCGTTCGTTTGCTTTTTTCCTTCCTGTTTTTATCTGTGGTAACCAATTCCAACTCCATGCTGAAGGGATATTTGTTGATCTTAAGGTAAATTATTTTGGATTTGTGATCGTGCTACCATGCCTAAGTAACTAAGGGTGAAAAATAGTCCCTGCATACATGTTCTTATATGTCCACAGCTTTACCAATGCAATTATAGTAGTGCATTGATTGCTTTACCTATGGAGGCAAGTTTTAGAAAACAAAAAGAATGAGAACTTAGGTGAGAACGAGAAATCAGAAAGCATCTGTTAAATTGGTGCCCATTTGAAGCAGCTCTCTCCTTTGCAGAAACTTAGCTATCCCATGAGATTTCCAGGGGTGTAGTCTACAGATTTCCTTAGTGATGTTTAGGGTATCCTGTTTCCATCTGCAGGGGATTGCTCCAACCCAGTAAGCATTACTGAACTGTAAGCACTGTTAACAATTCCATTCCTCGTGAGTAAGAAGACAGAGCAAGGGCCAAGAGGTCGGTGCAGGCGTGAGGAAAATGCCACTGCTTTCATATACCTCAGCTGAGTACAGACCCTTGCAGAAGCTGTAGCATATGGAAACATTTTCAAGAAAGAGAATCTTGTGGAGAAGACCTGATAGAGCTTAAAGATGTCCAACTGTAACATGGACTGTTCATACCATGTGATTTTTTTTGAGGGATCTGATGTGGTGTGTCAAGGGAATGATGATGATTTTTCTGGGCGATACAGAAAGGAGTACTGTCATTTCTGTTTTCAGTGGTTGGCTCTGTGTGGCTTTTTAATTACCAAAAGTGCTTCACCATGAAGCTGTCCTGACTACTCATTATTCTGTAGTGTGAGCAGAGTACCTTAGACACTTTGAAGAAAAAGATCTGCAAATCTCTGTGTAGAAGAGGCAGCTGTGAGTCAGTCCAAGCTTGGAAGCATACAAAGGCAAAGAAGGTAAAGCAGATGTATCAAAGTTTGGATTTTAGATTTTAGTTTAAAAGTTTAGGCATTTTAACATTAAAGGATTTTTTTTTTCTCTTGAGAAAAGTGGCAAAAGAATGTCTGTTTTCACTAGAAACAGACCCTCTGTGCTAGCAGATTGAATGATAAAATCTCTCAGTCTTGCTGCACAGACTGCATATGATCCAGGCAATCAAACAGTAAAGATCCTTCTTTGGAAAGCTATAGTTGCTCCACTGAAGGAGTTAAACTTGCTGACTTTGTTTTGATCTCAGGTATCAAAAGATCTGCGTTTGGAAATCCAGGGCCTGGGCTCAAAGATGGAGGTATTCGAAAGAGGAGAAAAATTGACACCGCCCTTGTAATATTTTTAAGTTATAAAGCCTTACATCATTCTGTGTAATTGTGAGAGACTTGGTGAAGTATGTAGATATAATTAACTGTCAAAGATACAAATGCTATATATGGAAGCTGCTATCTTAGAAACCACAGACTCTAGCAATTAGTGTCAGATACATCGATTTCTTGCCACTCTTACTCTTTCCTTTCTGCTGTTAATCAGTATGAAAACCATTAATCTATCCCTGTACAGTAATTTCAGCAAAATCTTTTATCCTGTTGGAATTGCATGTTCAAATTGAAGTAATTATTAGTTAGAATATAACTGAACCAGGAGGTGTCTGGGATGTTTTGCTTCTGGCAGTAACCATTAACTTGATCACATAAAAGCAGAAGGCTTGTACTGACCTGTGTACCTAAAAGTGTCTTAACACATGTAATCACTGAAGAGTCATTTTATTTCATTTGCTACAGTAGTAATCAGCCTTTCCACTCATCACAGGTGGCGGGTGTAGAGTCCATGTCAGAGCTGGATGGTGGGGTGAGAGCAGGTCACGGTACTGGGTAGGTCTTAACACTAAACAGATCAGGTAGCTGAGGGCTAACACACAGTGAGGTTGGACTTTCTTAGTGATGGCAGAGTCATAATCTGTCAAGAACAGATGAGGTAAAGCAGTCAAAGATCTTGAACTGAAGTGCTGAAAGAACTGAACCACAGCTTCTTTATTCTTAGCTCTGTGGTCTTTTTCTTCCACTAGAAAAATTTTCTTGTTTTCCAAAGATGCTCACCATCTCCCCATCATTGTAGGCTCTGGAAAATGTTCAGTTTTAACACGAAAAGCCTGACCTGTAGAACACCATGTGGTTTCATGCTACTACAGGGTTTTAGTTTCAATTTTTTCTTAGTATTTTCACTCTACTGATCTCTTAGAAGCACTGGTATGAAACTAATCAATAGTATCTGGCATATTTGGACTTTGCACTTTACATCAGAACACAGAATACTCCATGACCCTCGTTAATGGAAAGAAATTACAACCCCTGATGTCACTTGCCAGGAACTTCCTAGTTGCTTTGATATGTTCAATCAGTTAAAATGGCTAAAAGCTATTTCTGCCTTCCTGTGCAGTCAAAACTAGCTGTAATTTGGAAGTCTTGTGAACGCAGCTGGGTACCACTCTGCTCATGCTGAGGAGTCCTGTCTGAGGTAGACCCTTTGGATGGCTCTAGTCTTTTGTTAGACCACCTGTGTCAGTTGAGACTGGATGTCATTTATTGCCTTGCAGCACAGCAGAGAGGTCAGTGCTCTGAACCTAACCTTGTAGAAATGCATGAAGAGGCCAGATTTTCCCATCTTCAGAAGCAAAGAAGAGGAAGGTACCAATTGTCAACCGGGTAACGGGGAACATGAGCTTGAATTGGTGGAAGGAAATGCAGACAACTGTGCCTCAGAGTGCAGAACTTTTTGTGATGTGACTTCTCATTGTGTTAGCAGTGTTTCAGGTACAGAGCACAAGGGCTGAAGGAGAACGATGAGCCTAGAACGCTGCAGCATACAGTCACAGATGCTTGAGCAGGCAGTGACTACCCCAATGCGTCCTCTTAAGCATTATGATAGTTAAAACAGGACTTGGTGTATTCACCAGAAAGAAGCATTGCTAAGAATAGCTGTCTTATGCAGGGGATGTTTTTTCACCTTGTGTCTGCTTGAAGGTCTGTTCAAAAGCAGAAGGATGTCCGAGACAGCAGCTGGATGATTCCTGTTGGTCAAAATTGTGGCACTGATGATTGCTCATGTCAAACCAGCTCAAATAGCCAGTTTTCTTGAAGGGCAGAATCGCTGCACCATGCTATGGACTTGTGCTGAAACTGAAGCTGATTCCCATGTCCAAGGGAAGAAGTAACCAAAAAGACACATGAATCCTAAGGGAAAAGCTAATAGGAGGCAGCTCTCTGCTGGGTGGTCTGTGTGCACAGATGCCTCTGAAAGAGGAGGTGGAGAGAGGAGGACGGATTGTCTGCCCCCGGCTGGAAGAGTCTTCTCATCTGGAGCTTTGTGTGCCTGATTTATGTTTTGCTAGTGCATGGAGAAAATCCTGTAACATCTGCTAGTAACACCATTGTGCCTGGGAAGTCTGGTAATCAGTGTGTTCTGAAACACACTTGAAGGCTGTAGGGAATCCTTGGGTTAAAATACACTGTACAGAGCTTTCGGAAGTGAACAGTGACTTTGAGGACTAGTGGGCAAAGTGGATCTGACATGCTGTTGGGTTAAAAGCTCCAGTGAGTTTTGGCATTTGTTGGAACCACAGAGTTTGCCCCAGAGTCTTTACAACAAAGACAACACCTTCTCCTTGTTTCCAGGTTCTTGTTCTTGGTAGAAGGAATCAAGTGACTTACCTCCCTGAGGAAATGACTTTTACACTCCTTCCATGAATACAAGTTTTCCAGAGAGCAAGAAAGCAGCTTAAATGCACCAAGTGGAGAAAACTTGATTAGTGCAGTGGGACATTATAAAAAAATGATACTTTACTGGTGAGGAAATGGCTCTTCTCCTCATTTACTCCACTCTGCCAGCTTTGTTCAGGCATCATATTATGAAAGGTGGTGTCACAGTTCTCAGCCTGTTCTCATTAAGGCTTCCAATCCGGATACTTCAGTATCAGTGGATGCTACTTTTGGCATGCAGGTTGTGTCTGGAAGTTGTTCAAAATCTACCTTATTTTGCTCCCAGGTGGGGTACTAGTTCATTTAAAAGTGGAAATCACAAGCTTGCATGCTGCCTTCTCTATGTGTATATGTTGCACTGTATATTAGCATATGTGTATTACTGTTTATGGACATCTTTGCATCTTCAGAGGCTTTTTCAGTGTGTTACCTGAATCCTCACGAGGTGAATGAAGTTACTGTTATCTTCAGTTTTGCAGATGGAGAACAACGCCTGCAGGTGCCCAGAAAGCCTGTGGAGTTGTCAGGATTAGCTCCTGGTTAGTGAGCAGGTGTGAGGCATCATGTGGAGATGATCACACTGCATCCCAGACGAGCAGCTGGCTCATCTCCCCCTCCTAGAAGGTGCTGAACTCTTTGGTTTCCGGTTTGCCTTTGCTTTTGTGGATAGCTCAGTGCTTGGGTTTGTTTTTTCTTCAGATGGTGAAGACAAAAGAGTAGGTCAGGGTTTGGGCCTTTTATGTTTGAAATTTTGGGCAGGGAGGATAGTGATAAAAAGATAGCAGTATTGTACTCAGTGTTTGGAAGCAAGGGCAAGTGTGCTTCCTTCTTTGAAACAGTGACCAAATAAAC